TCAGCAGCACACACACTGGTTGGGAGAATTTGCTGTGCTTGAAGCCGATGTTCTGGAAGGAAGATCTGGCACTTAAGCAGTAGTTGCCTCTAAGCGCAGTGGTATCGATGCTCACCGTATTCTTCCTAAATATGCCTTCATACTGCTTCTGCTCAGAAACACAAAGAACAGAGGGTTGGAAAGATGATTCTTTCATCATTTGGGTGGTGGTTCTCTACCTTTTTAGCCCTCATTGTGTGTGTGGCTCAGTGGTTGCAAAGTGCATGGGGAGGCACAAACATGTCCCTAGGGCATAGGGATTCCAGGGTGGGATTTCCAGCTGGTGCTGGGCTGTTCTGCCATGGCATGCTGTTAGTGGTACCCAAACTCAGCTGTTGCCTTTTATACTGACTGTAGTGTAGCCTCCCCATCACGTCTTCCTGACAAAAACAGGGAACTACCAATAACATAAGGATGCTCACAAACATCTACTTTTCTTCTCTGGCTTTGGTTTCATTCTGGTTTAGCCATTTAATTTTCTTCAGTCCCTCCCTGCCCAGAAATGTGAAGCTATTTCAGTTCAAGCTGGGCATTATTCCTTTATTTCATCTGAGCACCACTTTTACTGACCTTGTCATTGGATCCAGCTTCCCAGAGGTTCAGGTCATACATCCAAGAGATGCTCTCCACACAGGCGGCCAAAGGGAAGGAGGCATTCACGTGGATTTTGTTCTCTTTGACATTCACATGTAGCACTGGGGGAGCCAGTTCCACTGTAATGGAGTGACCAGATGTAAGAAGAGTGTTTGCTTGTGCCCTGCTTCACAGAAGTAACACTTTCCTGTGACTGATCTGCACTTCTTACTCCTATCTTGTGATAGACATGAGGGATGGAGGAAGGCAAGGGAATACCTCTGTTTTACCTAACATATACCCCCCCTGCTTTGTGAAGAGCGTGAAGCCAGTTAGTGGAGCACTGATGAACAAGTCCTGCCACTTGCTGCAAGACTGAGTTTCAAATGATCCTGGCTTGTTACCTGGGCTCACCCAAACCTCTGTCATTCCTAAGGCAGCTTGTTACTGTTCCCATGGTGTGGGGTCTCATCTGCTCATGCCAACACTGTTGCTGGGATGTCCCTTCACCCAGGCTGTAGCCTGACAGACACTCACCATCCAAATAGTATTCCTTGAATTGTGATTCTGCCCATGGTGACTGCAGTTGTCCAGAAACAGCTTTTACTCGAGCCCGGACTTTAACGAACACAGGCAGCACACAGGTCAGATTGCAAGAGGTTCTGCGGGTATTTTTGCAGTGAGGAACCTTCATCCATTTGTCCATGCGTTCCTGGCTAAAGGAAGAGACAAACACACCATAATATTAGACACGTTGTTTTGTTGTAGAGTAAGAGAAGGGAGGGGTTTGGAAGATGGGTGCCAAATCTTGCTCAGAGCTTGGAGCACCTTCCCGATGAGTAAGGATTGGGTTTGGTGAAGGGATGCAGCCAGGTCACTGGCAGGGATTATACGTGTCAGGTGTTCACTGGTGCTGTGCCTGCACTCGGACAGCCTCTGTAAGCACTTACCTTTCATACCGCACAGTGTATGTAACGTCTGGTGGAGAGCCCTCTCCTGGAGCCCAGGTCAAAATCATGTCAAAATCCTTTGACAGCAGCGTAACATTTTGAGGAGGGAGGAGTTTACCATGACCTGATTGAAAGGGAAAATTACATGAAGGATGTAAGATATCTTTTGGGATGGGAAGTATCACCTGGGTTTGACCAAGGTGGCTGCACAGTTTGGGGCAGAGCAGCTCCATTCATTTAAGGATGGAAGCTGTGGAAGCAGGTATGTGTGTCAGGTAGTCCCGTCTTCCTCATCTCTTCTCAAACGCCTTCATCTCGACAGATTTTAGAATTAGCATCCACGTTTGTGTGAACCATCCTGCTCTGTCATTTGAACTGGCTTCCCCCATGGTCTCGCTGGATTTCACTGTGACCCATTTGCAACCCCCAGACATCAACCTGCCTCCCAGCCCCAGGTGAAGCAGACACAGGGGCTCTGCTCCTTCAATCCCAGTTCTTTGAAGGCAGATCCTACCCCGAACACCTGGGATGCAGCATTACACGTGTCCCACTTGGGCTTCCCCGGCATCTTTTGTTGCCGGTAGATCATGGAATCATCGACTAGTTTGGGTTGGAAAGGACCTTAAGATACCCAGTTCCAACCCCCTGCCATGGGCAGGGACACCTCACACCAGACCATGTTGCCCAAGGCTCTGTCCAGCCTGGCCTTGAACACTGCCAGGGATGGGGCATTTATCACTTCTCTGGGCACCTTGTGCCAGTGCCTCAGCACCCTCACAGTAAAGTCAGTGCACACATCTCTCACCTTCAAAAGACACATTCCACAGACGGATTTTAAATTGCTGTTTCTTTACAGTGGAATATTTCACTTTATGTGAATCATTCCCATTTAAAGTGCTTGAAGTTTACCTGTGAGTGTCTTCCCTCCCATGAGCAGAGCCCCAGAGCACAGTGCAGTGGCCGTGACAGCTGTACCGTACCTCTCGCCTGGTGCAGGAGGCACAGTGCCAGCAGCATTCCAACTCTCCAGGTGGACATCCCGAAACAGAACTTTCCCACTGGGAATAGATCTCCTTTCTTGCTACGTTTTCATCATGCCGTTTTCTGGTATCAAGTTGTATGGATTACGGAAGAGCAGCGATGAATGCAGTGCACAGGCGTGTGCAGCCTCGCTTCCTGGTCCAGCCCAGGGGCAGGACCCCAGCGCAATCGGGAGAGGAGCTGACGTGAGGTGTGAGAGTGCTCTTGGTGAGAGGGAAACGTAAAGATTGCGGCGCTACGCCCCCCAGTGTAACTGAACACAGGCCACACGTAGAAGGAACACCGTGAAACAGCATGAGCCTTATCTGGTGAGGCACCTCATTAGAAAATGGACCTTTGGAATGTGTCTGTGTGGCTGTGAAATATTAATAGAAATCAAATAAGGTTTTACTGCATGAGGTATCTAATAATAGCCTAGCTTTAATAAAAACAATCACCCATCAGTAGTGTGTGAGATTATGATAGTCTTGTGGTTGCAAGAGATAAAGGATTTTCTCTTCATTTATGTTGCCAAGTTAAGAATGTTTCTCAGGAGTTTACAGATGGGGAAGTGAAGTGCAGGAATGGGACAGGGATCTGCCCCTACTGTGTGGGCGAAAGAAAGGACTTGGGTCCTTCTGATAAACCCTGGGGCTCTGTCAGTGCCAGTGCTGCAATTCCTTTATCCTTTAGTTGCTACTTATCAGTCATGAACCCCAAAACCCCAATCAAGAGCAGGACTGGTTACCAGGACTGTACATGGATTGAACATGGATTGTTCTTGGTCCCTGTGTGGCCTCATCGGTGAGCACGTTGGCTACTGGCCTTGGCATTGGCAGCTCTGAAACCTGGAGGTGGTTGTGTTTGCAGCACATGGTACCTTCAGCTCCAGAGCTCTCCTGAGGCTCAGTTTTGAAGTCATCACTGTGTGTTACAGCCTGACTGGCACATCTTACTGCAGTCATGGGGATGTGGTTCTGTTCTGTGTGTATCACAGGCACAGCAGGAACACCCTGGTCCGGAGGCATGCCTGGGATACCTGTTGTGCCTCTGCTGCGAGCACAGGGAGAGGAGGACAAACAGCGCATCCGTTGTGCTCTTTGGGTGGCACACCAGCTCCTGCTCTGCCCCTCACAGTCACCTCCGGGCTCGTGCCATGAGGAAAGGGAATGAGTCAGCAACATGACCACACAGGAGGTCACACCGGCACAGGGAAAAGGGGCTTCCCTGGGTCTTCCCAAAGTAGAACACTCACACCCCTCCCCCGGCAGACGATCCTTTGCTGCACCAGTGAATGTCAGGTTCTGGGTACTGCGTGGCAGAAGAGCTGATAGAGCTGGGTTGTGTTGGCAAAAGCTGGTATCTTTATCACAGTGGTATCAAACGAACATGATGTGACTCAAGCCGCAGGAGGAGATGTGGTGACAGATTTCTTCAGTCACAGCTTTCTCCAAAAATCTCCATTTCTTCTTACCATGGGTTTCCATGCCCAGCACATTTCTTGCTCCGTGGCTGGTTTGCTGCCTCTGCTTCATTTCTGTCAAGTTTCTCTTTCTCGTGCAAATAGAACTATAATTCTTTAGAAAGTATCCCGGGTTCAGCCACAACAGTCATTTTTTCTCCTTCTCAGTAGCTGGTGCAGTGCTGTGTTTTTGACTTTCAGTCTGGGAACAATGCTGATAACACCGATGTTTTTAGTTGTTGCTCAGTAATGTTTACTCTGACCAAGGACTTTCTCAGTCTCATGCTCTGCCAGAGAGGAGGGGAAGCCGGGAGGAAGCAGAGACAGGACACCTGACCCAAACTGGCCAAAGGGCTATTCCATACCACAGCACATCATGCCCAGTATAGAAACTGGGGGGAGTTACCCGGAAGGCCCAGATCGCTGCTCGGGTCGGGCTGGGTATCGGTCGGCGGGTGGTGAGCGGTTGTGTCCTCTCCCCTTGTTATTCCTCTTATCATTATTATTGGTAGCAGTAGTGGTTTGTATTATACCTTAGTTACTGGAGAGCTGTTATCTCAACCCGTGGGAGTTACATTCCTCCGCTTCTCCCCATCCCACCGGGAGCGGGGGGAGGAAGGAAGCGGGGGGGGGGCCAGGGAGTGAGTGAGCGGCTGCGTGGTTCCAAGTTGCCGGCTGGGCTTGAACCACAACATAAAGAAAAGCCAGTGCTAAGGGTCTTGGAGGGCTGTAGGTCTGTTCCCTTTAGCATCCAAACTGCAAAGCTGGTGCCAGCACAGGGCTCTTCTTACGCTTCCTGAACCAAGTAGGAAGCGAGCCAAGGGCAGACCTCACAGAGATCTCGGTGAAGCCCTCGGGCAGAACCTGCGTGGTGTTTAGTAAGCATTTGTGAGGGGTCAATTTTATCGTCATCGTTGTTTCCTGTGGAACATCTGCCCTAAAATCTGGGCTCCACTGGCCTCTGCGCCAAAACTCCCTCTGCCTTGAGCATGACCAAGGACCTGCCCCAGGACACACGAGTGTCGCGGGAGGCGAGGGAGGCCACGAGGTGTCGCTGCCCGTCAGACAGAACACAGGTTCCTCCAGCGATGGGCTCCTGGAGAGACCTGCTTAAACCTTGGCAAGCTCCATCACAGCTCCTGCGCCCTCTGCATCGCCTACCGCCCTCCCCGGGCAGTGTTTCTGCCTCCAGGAGCGCTTCCGACAGCATCCTCCCGTGGCAGGCACAGCGTTCGTGTTGTTCGTCTCCTCCCCGACCAGCCTGTGTGTGGCCGCGGCTGCGCAGCGGGTCATCGTGTGCGATGGGCTCGGAGCAGGGCTGCCCCTGGTGCTGCAGAGGGCTGGGCTCAGTGTCACTGCCCATCGCTGCCACTGTGCTTATGTGCGCCCCCTCTTTTACTCATATGCAGCATAAATGCTTTGGGATGGGTTTGTCACTCCTTAGTACAGTGCCTCATCTGTGGGTCCATCTGCCACAATAGCGGTGTAGCTGGGGAATTCTCGACTTCCCACCTCTCCGCACGCAAGGGGTGATTCAGCCTGTCTTGGGGCAGACTAACTGACACCTTCCTTTCTCGAGGAGGGGCACTACAGGAAATACAATCTTCTTCTTGGGAGGAAGGCACCGTTTGGGCTGGGGTGTGATTTTATGAAACCTTTGAAGGCAATAGGCAGCACCAAGTATTGTCATCCCAGCTCCTTCCTTCTGCTCTCACCCACCCAGGCAGTTCTGCAGATCTGTGTGACACATCTGGTGAGCTTTGGAGAGTGACTGATCCCACTGAGAACAAACTCACGCATAAAACAACAGAACAGGGCATCTCTGGTATGAACGGCACATTCCCCATGTGCTCTTACACTAATGTCAGCACCAGATTGTGTGAGGGGCTGGCTGAGTGTTTCCAGTTTCTTAAAACATGGAGCAGCCGGTTTTTGTTTCTTTCTGAAAAGTTGGGAGCTCTTTGATTTCTGAATTAAACAGGATGATGCATTTGGACAAGGTTTCTATTGAAACATGGGCAAGTTTCAGCTCAGCATTTTTTAGGAAGAACATTTTCAGTTTCTTTAGGACAAAGCTCATTCTCCTCCAGCAGCTCTCACAGCCCCGTGCTGGTGGGATGGCTCAGCCTAAGAGAACGGTGCAGGCGGGCACAGAAGGTGGCACTTGTCACAGGCATTCTGCACACTGGAAGTACTGGGGAATGAGAGTGACATCTCCCAGTATTCTCTCTGGATGGTGTGAGAAACGTCTTAGAGGAACATGATCCAGATTGATAGTGTTCAGAAACCGGCCTGGCATCCAGGCCGCTGAGTGTTTGGGCTTGGGGGAAATTACTTTGCAAGGTTTAGGAAAGCAAGTATGGAGAAACGATGGGATGAGACAAGAACAAAATGCTATTGGGAATTAAGAGGTTAAAAGATCTGCAGAGCTGGGCGATGCCAGATGGTAAAATAAAATGCAGCAGTGTCCCCTTGACCCAGACAGGCATCAGGGGAGCCTGTCACTGGGAGGAGGAGAAGAGAATGGGCTTGATTTGTTTTTAAAACTGTGTCTCAAAAGACTTAATATGAAAAGCAAAAACAAACCCATAAAATGTTCCCCATACAAGTGCTGTGAATCATTTCATACCCTTTATTTTCTCTTCTGGGGCAGGGTTTTTAAAGGAACTTGGGCTTTGCCTGTACACAGCCACTGTAGCTGACACAGTTCTGATACAAGGGTCATGATTTGGAGGCGATATGCACAGGCTGCTCCTGATGGTAAGGAGGACACAGCAATCCTGTACAGACACTGCACCCCGTAGGTCAACCTTCGTGTCAGGGATTGTACCTGTGTCGTGGTTTCATTAAACCATCGTACTCTGGCAGGTGTAAGGGGTGGTCAGACAAGGCCTGAGGAGCTGCCCAAGGAGAGCACAGCATTTCCCAGCCCTTTTAGACCTGCACAAGCACCATATAGTGCCAGTGCAAAGGACTCTCCTCCTCTGTGAGCCTGTTAATATTGCTGGTACCCAGAGGGGACAACCTTCCCCTCATCTCCTTCCCTGTAGCAGTGATTCAGCCCATCCTGCACCATCCCTCACTGCTTTAGTGCTCAGCAAGCGCAAATCTGCGGAGATCTGGGGTTTTCCTCAGCAAGAGAAGCCCCTGCTGAGTGAAACACAAACCCAGCACTCAGAATGAAATCCCTCCCACTAACAGGTTTCACTTCCCTCACAGCAAGTGCATGAGGAGAAGAATCTTTTATGGGATGTTTATGGGATGCTGGGAGGGCCTTGCCCCTTCTGTGGGTCACACCAGCCACAGCAGGGAACTGATGGCATTTTTACCTTCCTTGTGACCTGCTGTTTGTGTGCAGCCCTGCGGTGCACAGCACTCACACAGACCTCAGTCCAACCTAAAACCAAGTGGACATGGCTGGGACCCCCTCCCTTGAGCTGATCTGAGCCATGGGGCAGACACGTGGGGTGGTTCTGATCAGCCGGTGGGCTTGAGCCCATTGCATGCTGCTTCTCTTGCTTTCCCTGATGCCTGTCCCTTCCCCTCCACGGTGCCT